ACGTCGACGTTTCGAGCCATCGCGCGGCATAGCATCATTGAAAACGATCTCCTGAATCCGATCTCGAACGATCTCAAATCTGAGAGGTAGTAATGAGTTCTTATAAAATTATGGCAACAAAAGTATATTCAACACCTCAAAATACTCCAAGTGTTGCATGAATGAAGAAAGATGCATGTATGTTGGATCGTGCGACCATCCGCAAGGCAATGTCCGCTAAAAATACGACTCGGAGGCGCTGCAACTAGAAATTTAGCTACAGTTAGAGGAAAAAGAGAGAATTCTTACACATTTCTAAGTTATTTTTTGTGCTAAATACATAGAAACAGGTGAACACTTTTGACTATTTTTCAGATTTGTTTATTGTAAAACTTTTCCCTCTAAATAAACTATGATTCCTCCAATTTCCAGATTTTTAGAGCGTGTCCCATCGGAGAAATTGCGTTCTCAGTATTGCCCTTTTCAGTGCTTTTTAACACATGAGCAGGAGATGAAGTGTCATTACAAAAAACCAACAAATCGCTTCTAGCTGACATTTTATTGCGGACTCTCTGAATGCATGATAACTAACTAAAAAATTCAGGTCTCAGACTTTTCTCCTCTTAAAAAAAGACCTAAAAAAAAGGGGTTCTCGTCGTTCCCCAGTCCACATGCATCTCGATTCAGTCCTTAAATAACAACGTTTTCCCTTGAAGACACACAAATTTTAGCGCCTAGCAAAAAGATCGATCATGAAAAGAAGTATTACGTCAGTTTTGTTTCAATTCTTTAAGTCAAACAGAACTAAAGATACGCCCGTTTTCGTGAGGGGCGATTTTTTGAAATTCAGTTCATAACCTTAACTCTACGAGACCGCCACGGATGCCAGGGTGGTCAAACAAATGTGAAATAATGGTTTTTGTACTTTTATTGGATAAATTAACAAAAAACCAAATTATAAAAAAAAATCGGGGTCGGTCAAGCAACAGTCCCTGGACAATTTCGCGTGGAATGACCCATTAGCGAATTTAGTCAGAGAACTCATGTGAATCGTACCTTAGTTGTCGACATTTCTACATACTTCATGCAGAGGTACATCTGTCATCCCATGGATTTTTTGCCGAGGAATCTATTTTTAATGTCCAAATTTTGATTAATCAAAGGTTCGAATCAAATTAAAGGTTTGATTAATCAGTAAATAGAATTTTTTTTGGATACACGTAAAGAAATCACTTTTTTGAAAAAAATACAGCAAAAATCGATATTTGAATTCGATATATCAATTTTTCGACCACGAAAATCGATTCTCTGACTCAAATTACCTATAAGAACATAAATGGTACGTATCAGTTGTGTCTTTTCGATCGTCCAGAAATTATCTGAGAAAAATCGAAAGTTTGAGATTTTGAAAATTCGAGCCCTATGTTTTCGATGAAAGCGTTGTCCTATGGAGCCAGGATTTTTTCCTCGGCCATTTGGTGCAGGAGGGCACCTTTTTTTCACTAGCCGTCCTCGGATTTCGAAAAATGTTTTTTCGCTCCACCCTAGGGGACGTCCCGTAAAGGGTTGGCGGCAGGGCGTTGACGAAGAGATGTTGCGGTGTCAGTTGCCCGATAACCTCTGGGAAGACAGACATATATGGCGTTTGGGTGTCGTAGAACGCCAGAGTGCGTGTGTATATATATATATATATATNACAGACATATATGGCGTTTGGGTGTCGTAGAACGCCAGAGTGCGTATATATATATATATATATATATATGGTTATTTTATGTATTGTTAATTAAGTGAAATTCATGAGTTGTATAACCGTAACTTTTTATTTATTTTAAACAAAATTGTTTTACAATGCGACGTTTCGGTGGCTTATTCCCACCATCATCAGGCAGAGACTGAGGAGACAAAACAAGGAAAACAAGAAATAAACAACCTAGTCCTCCGATCCAACACGGTCAGGGAAGAGAGGAAAAGATAGTTACAATCTAACGAACATTACAGACATTGTTGCCTGAGTTACAGCTATAAATAAACTTTGATGGTCAACAATTAGAAAGTATCCGTACCTACCAAATAATCCTCAAAATGGGAAAATTCTGTCCTTGAATTCAGGGCGTTGCTATTTTTAAGAATGCTTAACCCTTCTAAATTTAAACGGACCTGCCCATTTTTCTCTTGTTTTAGCACTCTGCTGTTATCATAATCAAATTGATGGTTTGTTTCTTTTACGTGCTGCTTAAGTGCCGTTTTTTCATGCTTATAAAATGACTTTCATGCTTAGAAAAATGGATGACAATTGCTCCCCATACAACGTTGCCAGAAGATCAATTGTTAGCCGGCATTAAAGCATGTTTAGAGTCAACAGTATTTACTTTCGGCGATGAATACCTACTTCAAGCAGATAAACGGCTTGGCAATGGGGTCACCAGTAAGCGCCGATGTTGCCAACCTGGTAATGGAATACTTTGAGGAAAAATTATTTCAAGTGTCCCCCTATAAATTGCTATTCTATAAACGTTTTGCAGACGATATTATCTTATGCTGTCACAAAGATGATCTTGACAATGTTTTCCATTTTTTCAATAATTTTTCGAGCAATATCAAATTTACACACTCGAGCGTGAAGTCAACAACTCTTTAAATTTCCTGTCTTAAAAAACAGAGGGAAATTGATCACGTCATGGTTTAAAAAACCAATATTTTCTCGTAGATATCTCAATTTTTTGTCTGTGCAACCACTTCCACAAAAAATCAATGTGGTAAAAAATCTTGCAACGCGTGTATGTTTGTTGACACATCCTTTGCTCAGAAAAGACAAAATAAAAGAGGCAAAGCAATTGTTGATTGAGAATTGTTACCCGTGGTCACTTATCGAGTCAATTTTTGCAGAGGTAATAAATTCTTGCTGCAACGGTTTCCCCCTCGCAAAAATAGGGAAAGAGAGGAGACTGTGGTTGGACCATATTTGTCTTCATGTTCTGAAAAATTAAGTGCCGCAATAAAACCATTTGGATTATCGCTCGTAACAACGATAAGTGTAATATGAAAGGATTCAATTCAGCTCTAAAAACCAAAATCCCAAACGAGAAAATGTCCGACGTGGTTTATGAAATTCCATGCAAAGGGTGCCCAGGGGTCTACATTGGGCGGACTTCACAGTATGTACATAAGCGTCTTGACGGACACAGGTTTAATAAGCATGAAAAAACGGCACTTAAGCAGCACGTAAAAGAAACAAACCATCAATTTGATTATGATAACAGCAGAGTGCTAAAACAAGAGAAAAATGGGCAGGTCCGTTTAAATTTAGAAGGGTTAAGCATTCTTAAAAATAGCAACGCCCTGAATTCAAGGACAGAATTTTCCCATTTTGAGGATTATTTGGTAGGTACCGATACTTTCTAATTGTTGACCATCAAAGTTTATTTATAGCTGTAACTCAGGCAACAATGTCTGTAATGTTCGTTAGATTGTAACTATCTTTTCCTCTCTTCCCTGACCGTGTTGGATCGGAGGACTAGGTTGTTTATTTCTTGTTTTCCTTGTTTTGTCTCCTCAGTCTCTGCCTGATGATGGTGGGAATAAGCCACCGAAACGTCGCATTGTAAAAAAATTTTGTTTAAAATAAATAAAAAGTTACGGTTATACAACTCATGAATTTCACTTAATTAACAATACATAAAATAACCATAAATATATATGTATATATGACTGCAGGAAAAGAAACTAACCTAACATTGATTATTATTTTTTTTTTTTTTTAAATTGGTATGTTAACAAAAATCTACTAAATGTGAATATAAGAGAAGAGTAAATGACGCATCAGCTGACTTGGCCAGGTTAAAGATGCAAGTACGTAAAGATGATGAAAGATGGAATTTTAAAAGTAAATGATGGCAACGGACCATTTGTGTGGAAAAAAGGTGGACTCTATTCAAATAATAAATTTGATAATCAAAATAAGAAATCAGATGATAAATAACAGAGGTTACCAAAGTAAACCTAGAATTAGAATTTCTTCTTTTTTTTTAAAAAAAAAAAAACCGTCTAGTGGAAAATAGCGTAAGTACGGCACTTAATTTAATGACCGCTTACAGGGAAATGGTAAGTGCAATTGAATCAAAATTCAAACTTGACCTTTATTTGATCAAAAGGGACAATATTGCAAAGCGATTGTGTCAAAAGCTATTGTGAACAAAAGGAATGTGTGGGCGGCGAGCAGGTAACTATTAAAGTGGGGATTAGTATCAATATTTTCCGAGTAAAGATCAGAATAATTGTGCGATGCAATCGGAATTTTCCCTTTAGTATGAATGAGTGTGGTGGGGGGGGGGAGGGGTTCCCGAAATCAAGGAAGTTGGAGATGGAGCAACGTACGGGGAAAATGATGGGCCCTCATTAAGGGTGAAGAGACAACTCCCAACTTCGATTACTTAGTATAGTTGGCCATCAAAACTTTCCCCCGATTATTTCGTTGTCAATTGTTACGTGTTCTACTACCTGCCAGAGGCCGTAAAAGGTACTCGGAAACTTTATACCATCCTTTAACTTTGTGAGCAGCGGCTGCTTGTGATTCCAAGGCGGGACGCGAAGCCACGGCGCACAGTGAATCGAGGCAATCAAAAAGGTCGGACATATATTTTTTACTAAAAATGAAAATTTTGATGTGTATTCTGTCATATTTTAAATTTGAAGGGGTGCCTCTAAAAGGAAATTTCACGAAGAACCAATGTAACCACTTGTAAAGCCTCAGAGCTTTGTATAAACGTATAGTTATGAGCTTATAAAGTTCCCAAATTTTGTCCGACCTCCCTCAATGACTTGATCCACCCGATCCACCGTACGGCGCGGCGGCGCTCCCAGACACTCCGTTGTCTCTCTTCAAATCGAAAATACTACTCCCCCCTCCCCCCCACCCCCTCCATCAAAAAAAATGTTTAAATAGAAAAATAAAAATTAAAAAGGAGCGAAACAAGTAGGCGAAAAAAATGATTAAACCGGACTGAGAGTAGAAAACTTACTTTTCTGATATCTTCAAGATTATGAATTTCAGGAGAGAGACCTCCATGAACACAAAGGAACTGTTGGTTCATTAAAGCTGCTAGAGGCAAACAGTCAAATGCGTCCATACATGCATCATATACTCTTTCTGAATACTTTATTTTACCTGCGAACACAATGCAAGAAGATGATATAATAAAAAAATCATGAGAGGGCACTGATTTAGCATACTTCATACATCGGTAAGAGAGAATTTTAGAAGGCTGTACCGATAATGATTTGACATTATTACAACGGTTCTCCTCTTGTTATTGGTTAAAAATCTTTTTTTCATTTCTTCTTTTTTTTATTTCTCTCTGCCTCTCTCTCCTACCCTCTCTCCCTCTCCTTCTCTCTTCTCCTTACTATATAGACTTTAATAAACAACCATGGAATGCTCAGTAAAGAAGTAAACTCGATTAAATGCTACTGTAGCCGTAAAAAGAGTGACTGGACTTTGTTTGGTATTTTCTGATATTTCTATTAATTTTCCTCAAAGACGTAGTTGGGTAAATGTTAATTTTTACTTTCTTGAATAGAAGCAAGTGCAATTAGTTAAAAGGCATCTTCTTGGATTTTTTTTAAACCCTCATTTCGAAGTTACGTCATTTGAGCTTCCACTTACACGCGCATTGGTTAGAGAGCCAAGATGGCGTTCGAAAATATCCTTCCCGCTTTAGACCCACTTTTGACCGCACAGCCCTACTGCCGCGATTTATGGCCCGTCCGGTCGTACATTGATACTGACTGCACAGACCATAAATTTCGACAAAGGAGTCGCGCAGTTAAAATCATGCTGGGGGCGGGACGGATGACTGACGCCATTTTGTGTTTCTGGAAGATGTGAGTCACAATACGGGGGTCTAGCAATTTTCAAAAATAAAATTCCCTGGCATATCCCAGATTTCAAAAAGCGGACAAAAATCGGGGGAAAATTAAAAATTTTCTGATAGGCGGGAAAAAATTTTTTCCTTGCCAAAGCGGCACAAAAGTCGGGGGAAAATTAAAAATTTTCTGATAGGCGGGAAAAATTTTTTTCGGACATTTCCCTGACCAAACGAAAAATATTTCTAATTTTTGACAAGTTTGAACTGATTAGATGTAAATAAGAGTAAATTAGATGTAAATAACATGTTTTAGGGATGTAATGTAAGGAACAGTGCAAAATATAAGGTACCTAAACTCATACGAGATACGTTTGCCTAATTTTTCTTTAAAATTTAAAAGACTTCAGCAAAAATTCTGATAGAAATTTTAGTATTGATTCCATTATTCTGAAACTTGATTCATCGTCAATTTCCAACAAAATAAATCCGTGCTTTCTGATATTCCTGACGTTACTCTGACACGAAAATCGCTTCCAAAATTAAATTCCCGGACATGCCGAATATTTGTGGATTCCCTGAGGTTCCCCCTGATTTCCCTAGCACAAAAAGATTTACCCTGACATATACCGATTTTCTAGGTCGCTAGACACCCTGCAATAGAGGCTTAAAATACGTAACTTTAGACTCGTTTTTGTGGGTTGTTATATCGTTGGTTCAGCGCTTCTTTTCCGAAATTTTCAGACCCCCAAACAATTTTGGGGGGAAGCTAGGGGGGTGGGGGGTGGGGTGGAAGTCAAAACCTGTGAACCTTGACATCTCTCGAACGAAGAAAGATATCGAGGTCCGGTTTGGACGAAAAATCGTCTAAAATTGCATACTTTAAGATTCTAAAGGTCAAAATCCCGATATCACATTTTTAAGTTAACATATGTGCTTTTTTCCAGTTTTTAGGTCTAGAAAATTTCTTGTAAGCAAAGAACTTGCAAAAATCTCAATTTTTATCGGAACCAAAACCAGTTTTTTAAATTGCTCGTCTTTTTACGCATCTAACGAGTGGTCGTCTAAGCTGGGGAACCGAACGGTTCCGGAGTTATGATCGATTGAAGTTTCCGCTCAACGCGCGCCGACCGATTTTCGCGCGCAAAAAAGTCGGATTTGACTGTTATTCAATCAGATTGAATGTTCAAACTGAGCAAAATGCATTATTAGGGACTCTTGAGGGTCGCTGAGTTCAGATATTACAGATACTTCCAAAAAATTCACGTTTTTAAAATTACAGGTCCGTAGCGCTATTTTAGAGACCCACTGAGCGCCGACCGGCCGCTCAGTGGTCCTGTACGGAGCTGTAATTTTAAAAACGTGAATTTTTTGGAGGTATCTGTAATTTCTGAACTCAGCTACCCTCAAGAGTCCCTAATAATGCATTTTGCTCAGTTTGAACATTGAATCTGATTAAATAATGGTCAAATCCGACTTTTTTGCGCGCGAAAATCGGTCGGCGCGCGTTGAGCGGAAACTTCAATCGATCATAACTCCGGAACCGTTCGGTTCATCAGCTTATACGACCACTCGTTGGATGCGGAAAAAGACGAGCAATTTAAAAAACTGGTTTTGGTTCAAATCAAAAAATGTGAAATTTCAGTTTAATCTGTTTAAAAGAAATTGTTTTTCCTCAAAAACTGAAAAAAAGCACATAAGTTAACTTATAAATGTAATTTTGGGATTTTGACCTTTAGAATCTTAAAGTATGCAATTGCAAACCGGGCCTCAATATCTTTTTTCGTTCGAAAGATATCGAGGTTCACAGGTTTTGACTTCCACCCCCCCTAGCGCCCCCCAAAATTTATTGGGGGTCTGAAAATTTGGGGAAAGAAGCGCTCCAGTATTAGTAACTGATAGACAAAGTTTGAATAAGTTTTAGTGGGGGGGGGCGAAAAATGTCGTTTTTGCATACGGCTCTTTCCCTTATGTTTAAAACCGCTTAAGTGCTGGTGCAACCTGCCACAAAGCTCAGCTTACAGTTGACTTTCCGCTCATCTTTGACTTTCGTAAAAAACTGCCCAACCAACTTTGTTAAACTTTCGAGCGTGGCGCCACACACCAGCGCATGAAAAAATCCGGCCCAGCGCCACAGGGCCGAGCGCCACAACTCACGATTGCTTATCACCTGGATCACGGGCGCGCATTCGACGGGTAGCGAGGCCCACGTCGCGTCGCATCGGACCTGACCGAACCTAACCTAACCTAACTTAACCTAACCTAACCTAACCTAACCTTACTTAACCTAACCTGACCTAATCTAACCTGACTTAACCTAACCTAACCTTAGGTGGATTAGGCCCTGTGGCGCTGGGCCCGGATTTTTTCATGCGCTACTGTGCGACGCGAGCCTCGCTACCCGATGCGTGCCCGTAATCCAGGCGATAGGCAATCGTGAGTTGTGGCGCTCGGTCCTGTGGCGCTGGGCCCGGATTATTTCATGCGCTGGTGTGTGGCGCCACGCTCGAACGTTTATCAAAGTTGGTTGGGCAGTTTTTTACGAAAGTCAAAGTTGAGCGGATAGTCAACTGTAAGCTGAACTTTGTGGCAGGTTGCACCAGCACTTAAGCGGTTTTAAACATAAGGGAAATTTGAGGATTTTGCTGGAGTGTGGCGCCACACTCTGTGGCGCTGGGCCCGGATTTTAACCGAGATCCGAGCGTGGCGCCAAGATCTGTGGCTCATTGCACCGCAGCCAGTTTTTAAAAACTCCTATCTCCACGGGGAAACTAATTGCACATATGACGCCACTGAAATGAATCAGAGATAGTAGTTTTCAATTGTAAATTGTAGTCCAATTGATAATCCTCTTTAAATATGTGCAGTTACTTGACAAACATCAAAGACTCCTTATTCAGACAGTTTCTACGGATTCCTCTGAAGCCAACACAAGGATGTAGAAAGTTTGCCGCAATTCGGTAGTTTTCGCCTCACAGCACAGTTTTCAATTTACCTCACTTTTGAATAGAGATGCCTCCCCCTCCCCTCAAAGAGTCATCACTTTTTAAAATTATATCCCTCACGGCCGCGCGCGCGCCTCACGTATGCCGCCTGGATTTATTACACAGGAAATACTTGATTTTTTACACAAAAATCAACCGTCAACCTATGATTTCAAATTAAAAGTTTTCCGTTGAAAATGGAGAAAATGTTTAGGACTCTAATGAATAGATTACTTACATTCTTGTTTAAAGGTGAAATACTCCGTTAAATGCCTGCATTCGTGATTTCCGCGCAGAAGGAATAATGTATTTGGATGGCACAATTTCAAAGCCCATAGATATAAAACGCACTAAAACAGACAGAAAAAAGATTAATGCTATTCGTGTCAAGCTGTCAATGCTAAGAGCAAGTTGACAATATGTATAGTAAAGAAATGACTGTTGCCTAAGTATGTACCTAAGCAATACAGAAGTCACCCAGTCAAGACTAACTTCTACATTTTGAAGGATACAACTACACACAAGCGTAGACGTTTCGGTGTCTGGACAGATACCATCATTAGTGCAAAAAGTAATTATAAATTTTAACATGATACCAATGATAAGCGAAAAAGTACAATAAAGTTGTAGCGGCCAATCACCGCTCACCTCTGGCGACGCAGCCCATGCTCGCCCCTGATTGGCCGACGCAGTCTCAACAACGGCTATATACGTCGTGACCACACCGACTCTGGTCACTCCGCTCCCGTCAACCACACGGGTCACATAACTCATCCAGCGGACATCCCGCAGCCGGCCGGCTTGCCTCATTCCAACGGCCCTGTTTAGGGCCACCAAATTAGAGCACCTCTTCTGGTCCTTGGCCATAAAGTGAACAGCATTTTGCAAAAGCCAAGATAGTAGACTGTAGATGTGAAGATGCAATTTCCGCTAACCGACAATTTTAGTTTTGGTTATGGTTTATGTTGTTTGTCTTGGGTCTCCGAAAGACTTTGGCCTAGATGACAGCATACATCCAGAAGATTGCAGGAACTTTGGTTCATATCTGCAGCAACGATTATCACGGAAAAAAATTATTAAGCTCATTGAAAAGAGCGTAAAATTTACTTTTAGAAAACATGCGTCAAAAGTTTCAAAGCTTGGCTTAATCCTGTGAAAAATCAATTTATTAGCTCCACCCTCCCGATCTCGCCAGTTTTTGACCCTTTAACAGAAAGAAAACGCTTTGTCGTAAACGAATAGTCGTATCTCTGCGCCGTCGTCAACGCACATCCTTTCCCTTGCTAAATTTCCATATTGTGTTAGTTTCGTTAGTCTCATTTGTAGTAATAGTCCAGGCAAACAAGGAAAAGAGCCTGCAAAAATCCCGGGTAGCAATGTTTTCATCGAATCCTATGTAATTTTTGACGCTGAATCCGAATTTTGACTTTGCGCCATTAAATTCGGACCGGAAAGTTGCCAAATTTGGCAAAAATGGCCTAAAATCGGACTTTTTTCCGGATTATGGCCTGTAACTTGCCAAAAATTGATCTGACGATAAAATTAGATATTTTCAGAAATAAAGCTCGTTAAATTTCCGGTAAAAAAGTTCCTATACTCTTTTTTGCTCAAAGCAAAATCAAGCGCGCTGGCGGGCTCCGAACTTTGTAAAATGTGCGAAAATTGCGCATACTGTAATGTGTTGGGTTATCCTTATTATTTACATCAATTCATTTCACTCAGTGTAAATTTTATCATCTTCACTTAATTTGTCCAGAAATTACTCGTCGGACGATTAAAACAGGAGACATCGGGCAAAAACCGCGAAAAACACAGTTTTTGCTCATTTTTCAAAGTTCGGAGCCCGCCAGCGCGCTTGATTTTGCATTGAGCCAAAAAGTGTATAGAAACTTTTTTACAGGAAATTTAACGAGCTTCATTTCTGAAAATAACTAATTTTATCGTCAGATCAATTTTTAGCAAGTTACAGGTCATAATCCAGAAAAAAGGCCGATTTTAGGCCATTTTTGCCAAATTTGGCAACTTTCCGGTCCGAATTTAATGGTGCAAAGTTGAAAACCGGATTCAGCGTCAAAAATTACGTAGGATTCACTGAGAGCATAACTACCCGGGATTTTTGCAAAAACCGCAAAAAACGCAATTTTCGTTCATTTTTCTAAGTTCGGTGCCCGCCAGCGCGCTTAGTTTTGCCTTGAGCAAAAAAGTGTATAAGAACTTTTTTATGGGAAATTTAACGAACTTTATTTCTGAAAATAACTAATTTTATCGTCAGATCAATTTTTGGCAAGTTACAGGCCATAATCCGGAAAAAAGTCCGATTTTAGGCCATTTTTGCCAAATTTGGCAACTTTCCGGTCCGAATTTAATGGCGCAAAGTTGAAATTCGGATTCAGCGTCAAAAATTACATAGGAATCGATGTAAACATTGCTACCCGGGATTTTTGCAGGCTATAGCCCTTTTCGTGGCTCATTTGCCTGGACTATAACGGTGCTTCAAAGGCTACGTGAGCAACATAGCCGAAGGTAGGAAAAACGTTATTCGGCCTCGTTTTTTAACTTTTCTCCCGGATCTGACTAACAGCATACAGCAGAGCATTGCGAATTCACGCCTCGCGACTCATGCCATCGCGCTTTTAATTCTTCATGTGCAATATGGACAATGGACATCCATCTAGCACGAATAGTTGTATCGCGTTCAGATGCCTCATATATTTGAAATTTGATATGAGTTAAGGTTAAGGTTTCATCATAATTTTTTTTCTCCTCTTATTTTGCTATCCGTCACGGGGGCGGATACTCGACGCGCCGTGGGTGGGAGCGTATTTGCCAGTAGTGGCAGGTCGGCCTTAGAGAGCCTGTCCGAGCCTGGTTCTTCAAAACAGCCCGTTCTTCAGGAAAACTTTGGTTTTCCTAAAAGTGTTGGAGAGAAACTACCTATGGTCCTAATTGAACTCAGCGCTTAATTGTATTGGGATTAACCATAAAATTCCTGACGTTTGTTCAGAGGAAGAAAAAGAAGAAATATCATTTGCACTCCTGTGTTATGCTAGACAGACAGCTTTGAGTCAATCTGCGTCTCATTTTGTACGATTCGGAAACCGTCTACTTATTCTGGCAGTAGTTACAAAATAATTGGGAAAATATATTTTAACTCCTAATTTTGAATGTATTGTAATCCTTGAATTTTGGTCTCATTTCCGATCTGCAAGGAGTAAAAACTTCGTCATGGCATTGCTGAGGTGTAAACTATTTGAACGGGGGTCCTACACGTCATTTTTTAATACTATTTTATTTGTTATAAGTTGGTAATGTTTGTTCTAGTTGTTAAGCTCCATGTCAGGAGACTCGTAAAAAGACTTTCACTCGAATATAAACTCTTTAGCTTTTCTCAACGACACCAAAAGAAATAGAGGGAGAAAAGAAACTAAAACTAAATTCGTCGATAGTACATACATACGCGCTTATAAATAACAGTAAATTAATGGTATGCATTTTTGTGATCTATGACTTAAGACTGGTGCTCTTTACATTGTGTCGGGTTTAGGTGCACCATAAGGGAGAACAAAAAAAGAAAAAAAAGTGATAAGATTTGCGTTTTGACAAGGCAGCAAAAAGGTGAAAAAGTCCTCGAGCGAGGGCGAGGGCGACTGAGACTTAAAAAAATGTGCCAAGATTTTTTAGCAGCTTCAATCGAGGGAACGCAGAGATCGTCGTTAAAGAGTGACTGTGGTCTAGAGGAAAATTTTATGGAGGGTCGATAACTTGAGATGGACGAAACCTTCGTAGAAAAGGATGATAATAACAAGGGTCTTGGACAGGTCTTGGTTTAACTCGAGATACGCCTCAAACCTCAGATTTCTCACTGCAAAAGAGACTGCCATTCTGAAAATTCTGTACCACACCCTAACAGCACAATGACGTTTAAAAGGTGTTTTTAAAATGAAGCAGTGACTTCGAAAACACACCAACTCGGAAAAAAAAAATTGCTCAGGAAACACCTAGAACTGCCCAGCAGGCGAAGAAGTTGGTTTAAGAAGAACCTTTTTGGTGCCAAAGGACAAGTACTTAGAGACTTTGTAAAGCACCAAGTTGAAATCGATACACCATGTTTGATGACAGAGAATTAAGCGTTTAAAAATTTCCGAGTTGGTGTGTTTTCGTTCTCACCGACTTTCAGATACTGACTTTTCATAGTCTGCCCTGAGAAAAATTTATATTTTTCGACCTGAATAACGCTTGAATATTTAAATAACTTGTTGGTACAAGGTATACTGAACCGAGAAAAGAAAACCGCAAAATCGGGTGGTCACCCGTTTCCCTTGAAATGGCCAAAAATTGGTATTTCGAATGAAATACTTCGATTTTTCCCTTTTTCCGTCGCTGTTTCGAGCACTTCCAATTAGAATTTCAAAATTTCCTTTTGCGTGCAGATGCTTCTATTCATTAGTGTTACTAAGCCGTAAAAAAAAGAAAATCGAAAAAAACCCGAGTTGGTGCGTTTTCGAACTCACTGATTCAAATGTCTCTGAAAGCATTCTCTAAATGTTTTAGGAACTAGCCTTAAAAACATTGAAGAACTAGAGCATCCCAAAGCGATTTTGAAACATCTTAGGAAATGTGTAATGCTGACATGTATGCGCTTTATAAGACTGTTCAATGCCATTCTTAAATCATTCAAAACATTCTTTCAAAGACGATGAAATTCTTTAATATACCTATTGAGTTTGAAGTCATTTTCATACAGCATTTGTAGGGAGCTCTCACGATCTTGTGTTATTACACGATGAACGAAATTTAACTCGTTATTTAATAATTAGGTTATAAGAGAAAGGATATAGTTTTTTTTATATGAATAAGCACCGCCCCTAAGTTGAGAGTCACAAGTGGACAACAAATTGACACACACTTTGCTGTTACTTCTTTCTCATCATTCTGAACCTCCCATAGTTGCTCTTGAAACGCCGATTCTTGTTGAGTAAGTCAGTATCTTTGCTACTTCGCGAGTGCCACAAACCGCGCTAAAAAATCCCATGTAGACAAGACCCTTGAACGACCACTCTCTTAAGGTAATTCGATGGACGCCATATTTTGTGTCAAAACGGCATGCGATATACCATTGGTCCCATTTTTTCAGCTACTCGTCATTTTTCTCCAATTTTGAGATCGCAATTCTGTTGTCGGGAGACTAAAGCACTCACTTACCAATTTTAACAAAAAAATTTAACGTAAGAAAGGCGTGGTTTTTTTTTAGAGAGAAAACATCGCATTAGTTCCGAAATCAGTATCAGTGCCGTAGGTTAGGGTGGAACTTATTTCTTTAAATCGACCAAACCAAATGATGCACGGTCGT